ATAGGCAGGAGCTTGGCAGACATTGCACTGACAGCTTTTGTGTTTAACCCTTCTCCCCTTGCTAAAAACCATTAGATTACAGTTCTAGAAGCTAGCTACCAAGATCCATTCCCTTATTTGGCCACCGACTCATTCTTGAAACAAAACACCAAGATCCAGCAATCAAAATTTATTGTTTGGCTAATATGTCCAATCAGGATTTACCAACTCACCCTAGCACACACTCCCTCTTTTCTCCTTAAAAACCCTGTACCAACTTGGAGGGGACTGTCTTCCTTTATAGTGACAATAGTATGTCCTAGATGGGGAGTGATGCTAGTCTGGAACTGTGAAGACACAAGAAGATCAAGAACCAACTGATGAGGTCTTGAATTAAGCAGTAGCCTGAATTGGAATTACGGTTGACTCAGAACCCATGCATTGCCTGCAGTGGTGGTTCATACCTTTAATCCCAGCTCTCAGGAGGCTGAGGCAGGTGGATCTCTGTGAGTTTGAGGCCAGCCTGGTCTACAGAGTGAGTTTCAGGAAAGCTTGGGATACACAGAGAAACCCTGTCTTGAAAAGCAAAAACAAATATAGAAGAACCCATACATAATAGAAGTGAGAAATAAAGCTTTCCTTATAAGGTATTGATGTTTTTTTGTTTTTTTTTTTTAAGATTTATTTATTACATATACAGTGTTCTGCCTGTATGCAGGCCAGAAGAGGGCACCAGCTCTCATTATAGGTGGCTGTGAGCCACCATGTGGTTTTTATGAATTGAACTCAGTTCCTCTGAAGAGCAGACAGTGCTCTTAACCTCTAAGCCATCTCTCCAGCCCTTGAGGTTTTTTTTTTTATTTCATCAGAAAAAGTTAATCAATAAAATTATCATTTCTGACTGACAGAAACAACTTCCATTAAATGTCCTCTGGCCTCCACATGCACATGGTAGCATGTACATACATACAAAAAAAAAAGTCAATAACTGAAATGTTAAGAACAACAAAAGCTATTATCTATATTACTGATTCTGAAATTTATGAAATATTTTTATTTTCTATACTTGATCAGCATTTTACAATTGAAAGATTATCTGATTATCCTAGTTTATCACTGACAACTTAATTTGAAAGTTCTACCTTTGTTGTTTATTTACTTATTTAGAAAAAGATCTTGCTAGGTAACCCATACAGCCTAGAACCCATCTATAGCCCAGGCTGGCTTTGAATTTGTGCTTTGCCTGCCTTAACTTTCTTATTGCTGGACTAATGGGCATGTACTGTCATCTTCAAATGAATTTTTATTATTTTATTAAGTCTGATTTTTGAGTCACAGTTTCTCTTCATGGCCTTGACTGTCCTAGAGCTCATTCTGTTGATCAGGCTAGCCTTGAACTCACAGAAATCTGCTGGCCTCTGTCTCCCAAGTGCTGAGATTAAAGGTGTGCCCTACCACTACCTAGTTTATTGTTTTTTGTTTTGTTTTGTTTTGTTTTTAAGGGTTAGATATTGGGCTGTCATTACTTCAGTTGCTTTATATATTTATGAAAGTACACTTACTTAGCACAACTGGTGTTTGCTGTGCTCTTAGAACATAATAATCACTAATTGCTTTGGGAATAAGAAATATATATGGAAATGTGTGTATATATATTATGTATGTGTGTGTTTATATATACTATAATAATTATATATAGTATTAGAAACAGTAACTTAAAAGAACCAGGCATCATGGCATATAACTGTGATGTTAGCACCTGGAAGGTGGCAGCTAAAGGATCAAGAATTTAAGTTCAGCCCATGTTATGTTGTGACATTTAGGTCATCGTAGTCTACATATGATCCTGTGAAAAAGCTAAAACACCAAAACCAAATTGTAAGACAGTTATATCAAGGCTGGCCACAGTGGCTCACACATTTAATCCCAGTATCTGGAAAGCAGAGGCAGGTGAATCTCTATCTATATGAGTCCCCAGCCAACTAAAGTGAGACCTTGTCCCAAAAATGCCACCACCACTACTGATGCCATCACCAAGAACAAAAAAACTAAAACCATGAAACAATTATACTGGCACTAATAGTTGATTTATTGAATAGTTTTAAAATATTTAGACTATGGTTATTTTTTATTTAGAGATATGTATTTTATATGATAAATACTAATGTTTGCAAACACTGAGCTTTGTTTGCCTTTCAATGCTAGGGATTGAGCCTGGGCATTGCCCACTCTAGGTAGCAACTAACACTGTGCTTCACCAACTGATACAGTATTTCCAAAGGTTGATTTGACTGGGTGGTGGTGGTGCATGCCTTTAGTCCCAGCACGTGGGAGGCAGAGGCAGATGGATCTCTGTGAGTTTGAGACCAGCCTGGTCTACAAGAGCTAGTTCCAGGACAACCTCCAAAGCCTCAGAGAAACCCTGTCTCGAAAAACAAAAAACAAACAAACAAACAAAATAGTTGATTTTCCCTAAGTTGTCTGCTATTCAATCCCAGAGCAGTAAAGGACTGTAGTTTATAGTATATGTGTCAGTAATTCTTGGAAGGAAAAATATATCAATAGTAATTCAGAATGAGTGTGTTTTTAGATATTAGTGCATGATGTAGCATGAATTCTAGTTGGTATTAATAAAAACCCAGAGACAGATAGAGGTTAAAGCTGAAGGTCAGAGAAGCAAAGTGGCCAGGAACTAGAAAGCTCTCACCTCTACTCAGACCGAAAGGGCGATCCTGTCTTCAGACTGGATCTCCAGTTTGCATCTGTCTTCACCAAACCTCAGCTGCACTGAGCTCCTGTCTCCTCTGGCCTTATATTCCTCTCTAGTGCTAGGGTTAAAGGCATGGGATCCCAAGTGCTGAGATCACTTTTGTGTAAGCTCTGTTTCTCTTTTAGACTGGATCAATTTTGTGAAGCTCAGGGTGACCTTTAACTAACGTAGATCCTTCTGCCTCTGTTTGCCGAGTGTACCACCACTGCCTGGCCTCTATGGCTAAGTAGTGTGGCTAGCTTTGCACTCTGATCTTCAGGCAAGCTTTATTTGTTAGATCATAAAGTACCACCACAGCATTCATTTTGATTACTTTTTTTCCCCTCATGTCTTTTTTTGTTTGCTTTTTATCAAGACAGAATTTCTTTCTGTAGTCCTGGCTGTCCTGGAACTCACTATGCAGACCGTGCTGGCCCCAGACTCAGAGATCTGTCTGCCTTTGACTCCTAAGTGCTGGGATTAAAGGCATGTGCCACCACCACCTGGATTTTTTTCATGACTTAACCAGTTTTCAGTGTATTGTTCTTTAATTTTATGCATATTTACCTTATAGTGTGTTCATCATGTAAAATAGACTTTAAACATTTTTTCTTCTCTCTCTCTCTCTCTCTCTCTCTCTGTGTGTGTGTGTGTGTGTGTGTGTGTGTGTGTGTGTTTGGGCATATGAGCACACATGCACATCAGAGGACAACTCTTGGGAATAAGTTCTCTCCTTCCACTATGTTGGTCCCAAGGATTGAACACAGGTCATCATGATTGGTGACTAGTACTTTTCTCCACTAAAGCTTCTCACTGGGGCCCTGAGCCTTGAGTACCTCTTCCCTTGTTAGCATTTTAATTAGTGTGGCACATTTGTTACAGGCAATAAATACTGATGGATTACCCTTAAGTGAAGCCTGTACTTTATTCAAATGGTTTCAGTTTTTACCTTATGTTGTCTTACCTTTGTGTAGTTGTCCTGACCCGAAGGACAGCAACCTAGAGCGAGAAGTCCAGGGAGGGGAATGGGGACAAGAGACTCAAGAGAATGACCACAAGACAGGATTCTGATCAAGTGGCAAATTTTATTTTTTCCAGGCTAGCTTATATAGTCAGTGGTATGGGGTGAAGGGGAGGGGGAGAAGAGGCCAAGAGCCAGGTAGGTGTTAGTTTAAGCAGGATGTTAGAAAACTATGGAAAGAGGATGTTGGCAGGGTAAAAAGTTCATAGGTGGTGGGGAGAGGGAGGGTTACCTAGGTGAGTGGTGGGACACGGGAGGGTTGCCTAGGTAAGTGGGCTTGTGGTTGAAACAAAGGATTGACGTCTGGGTCATGTTGTTCCTTTTGGGTGCTCATGCTTCTAGAAGCCATTTTTAATCAAAAGACAGTTCTATAACTATATGGCTTGCCAAGTTTGGCCTAAAGGTTCATGCTAAGCTGTATGGCTCCCAACAGTTTTAGAACCCATTTTAATGCTTTTTCAGGCTTTATGTGGATGGATGTAGTTTCTTAGGTTTCTGATGCCCCTGCCACCCACCTGTGCTTTCCATCTCCTCTTCTTTCCTTTGCTTATAGTGGAGATTAACCCAGGGAAGCATTCCAGTAACTGAGTCCTGGTCAGGTGACCTTAGGATGGGCTTCTGTTGGAGTTTAACATTTTCTCATGCTTAGACTGGGGTTATGTGTTTTGGGGGAGAAACCATTGGGTTAGGATGTCATTTTAATCACTTTTTGATTATCTTTAATATTCTTTTTTCAGATGTGTCATGTCAGCGCTT